GTGTCACCCCGAGGTTTAATGGGACAAAGTCTAATGAATGAGCCTCAGTTAGATCTCACGTTCACATAAGCAGTAGCGAGTCAAAATATCACAGTTTGCAAAAATTGAAAACCTGGAAGCGGGACATGCAGTTGGTGCAGACTGCACACTAGTCTGACCAACTCTGACTGTTTTTTTCTTGTTTTGGGCAGATGTGAGGAAGTTTGTCTGCGGTATAAAATGAGCACACCAAGATCACTGGGATGATCTCAAGCCCTGTAGTTGTTTGTGGGAATGAGATGTAGCCTCAAACTGAATGTCAGGTGTACCAGCAATTCAATGCAAAAAAAAGGTGCTTTAACACAGATGTCGCTTTCATTTGGAGGAACAGTAGTGGTTTATGATACAGTAGGTTTCTAGACATATTCCACGATGCAGCTGGTCGTGTTTCTACAAACTAGAAACACGACCATGCTGTCATGTCTTATAATCATAGTGCTGGGGAACAGCTGAGAAAATCCTGAGGCTGTCAGCAAAGCCAGGCAGGTGGGACCCATTGATCCAGTGTAGAGATATCATATATGTTACCTATATGTGCTATAAATATAGTTGACTAAACTGTATATAGTGGATTCAAATCAAAGCTGTACTGAAACAAATGTGGGCCACAGATTTTAATCTTCTTAGTATGATTCGAAAATGAACATGAATAGATTCGGCAGCAGTCGTTTAGCATGAAGTAAATCATTGTTAAACATAGAAAGTATTATACTTTACTGGCAGTAAGGTGGAAGACCTCATACAACTAAAAACCCTATTACTCTAGTATTTAGTGTTGTTCTATCTGTTCTGGAGACGTGGTTGATGTTGAATATTTGTACACTGCACTGAATGTGTGCATTTGTTTTGTTTGCTTTAATCTAGGAGAGTAAGACATCAGCTGATGCATCAGAATCAATAAAAACGACAGCAAGACTAAGGAAATTACAAAATTTTGTGCAAGCAAGAAGTGGAAAGGGAAAGAGCACATGTAACGGTGAGCTACTCGTGAGGATGCTTTCCAGTTTTTCAATGAACATGTTTATAATACATGCAACATCTGGTGATCTCATGTAGCAGATGCAGAAACTGTGAGCAACAACAACTCGGTCCTAACCTGCATCGGCCGGAGGAGGAAGACTGAGAGGAGGCTCTCCAAAGCTGCTCCGCTGCCACAGCAGCTGTTACAGCAACACGCCAGGAATCTCCATAAAGATCCAGAGGAG